GCCTTCAGCATCAACATCAGTCTGCCTTCAGCCTCGGCCTCAGCATCAGCCTGCCTCAGCCTCAGCCTGCATCAGCCTCAGCCTCAGCCTCAGCCTGCCTCAGCCAGCCTGCAGCCTCAGCCTGCCTCAGCCTCAGCCTCAGCCTGCCTTCAGCCTCAGCCTCAGTCTGCCTTCAGCCTCGGCCTCAGCCTCAGCCTGCCTCAGCCTCAGCCTGCATCAGCCTCAGCCTCAGCCTGCCTCAGCATCAGCCTGCCTCAGCCTCAGCCTCAGCCTGCCTCAGCCTCAGCCTCAGCCTGCTTCAGCCTCAGCCTCAGTCTGCCTTCAGCCTCGGCCTCAGCCTCAGCCTCAGCCTGCCTCAGCCTGAGCCTCAGCCTCAGCCTGCAGCCTCAGCCTCAGCCCTCAGCCTCAGCCTCAGCCTCAGCCTCAGCCTCAGCCTCAGCCTCAGCCTCAGCCTGCCTCAGCCTCAGCCTCAGCCTCAGCCTCAGCCTCAGCCTGCAGCCTCAGCCTCAGTCTGCCTTCAGCCTCGGCCTCAGCCTCAGCCTGCCTCAGCCTCAGCCTGCATCAGCCTCAGCCTCAGCCTCAGCCTGCCTCAGCATCAGCCTGCCTCAGCCTCAGCCTCAGCCTCAGCCTCAGCCTCAGCCTCAGCCTGCTTCAGCCTCAGCCTCAGTCTGCCTTCAGCCTCGGCCTCAGCCTCAGCCTGCCTCAGCCTCAGCCTGCATCACCTCAGCCTCAGCCTCAGCCTGCCTCAGCATCAGCCTGCCTCAGCCTCAGCCTCAGCCTGCCTCTGCCTCAGCCTCAGCCTGCTTCAGCCTTAGCCTCAATCTGCCTTCAGCCTCGGCCTCAGCCTCAGCCTGCCTCACCCTCAGCCTGCCTCAGCCTCAGCCTGCCTCATCAGCCTCAGCCTCAGCCTCAGCCTCAGCCTGCCTCAGCCTCAGCCTCAGCCTGCCTCAGCCTCAGCCTGCCTCAGCCTCAGCCTCAGCCTGCCTTCAGCCTCAGCCTCAGTCTGCCTTCAGCCTCGGCCTCAGCCTCAGCCTGCCTCAGCCTCAGCCTGCATCAGCCTCAGCCTCAGCCTCAGCCTGCCTCAGCATCAGCCTGCCTCAGCCTCAGCCTGCCTCAGCTTCAGCCACAGCCTTAGCCTGCTTCAGCCTCAACCTCAGTCTGCCTTCAGCCTCGGCCTCATCCTCAACGCGCCTCAGCCTCAGCCTGCATCAGCCTCAGCCTCAGCCTCAGCCAGCCTCAGCCTCAGCCTGCCTTCAGCCTCAGCCTCGGCCTGCCTCAGCCTCAGCCTCAGCCTGCTTCAGCCTCAGCTTCAGTCTGCCTTCAGCCTCGGCCTCAGCCTCAGCCTGCCTCAGCCTCAGCCTGCCTCAGCCTCAGCATCAGCCTGCCTCAGCATTCAAAATGTGGCCCCGGAGTGGAGTTCTGGGAACTCGAACAACACGAAGTGGCCGACAGTTGGCTCCGGGCATTCAAAATCATGCCCAGGAGAGAAGCTTTGGGAACTCGAAGACCACGAAGTGGCCTACAGTTGGCCTCGGGCATTCAAAATGTGGCCCGGGAATAGAGTTCTGGGAACTCGAAGAACACGAAGTGGCCTACACTTGGCTCCGGGCATTCAAAATGTGGCCCGGGAGTGGAGTTCTGGGAACTCGAAGACCACGAAGTGGTATACAGTTGGCTCCGGGCATTCAGAATGTGGCCCGGGAGTGGAGTTCTGGGACCTCGAAGACCACGAAGTGTGCAACTCTTGGCTAAACAAATCTCCGGCACCCCCCCGGATCGCGCCTAGACCCCCCTGGGGCGTCATGATGCTTTCTGTCGACTCTACTAGAAACCTATCAGTCTCTGCTGTTTGGTAATCGACAAATTCGGCCTCTTGGGCCTCTTGGGGCTCCAAGAGGGCTCCAAGAGGGCCTCAAGATGGCCCCAAGACGGCCCCAAGACTGCCCAAGATATTCCCAACGGGGGCCCATGAGGCCCCCAAAACGGCCACAAAAACTCCAAGGACGGCCCAAGAGGGCCCCAAGAGCGCCCACAACTGCGCCTCCAGAGGCCGAAAGCACTGATTCCCTTAAAGTTGTTACGCACGTTAGCGTTCTCATCTTTTCCGACTTGCACAAATCCATGACGGCCCAAGCACCTTCCAGAATCGCCCCAAAACAACCCCCAAAAAACAACCCAACTTGGCCCCAAGACGGCCCAGGAGGACCCCAAAACGGCCCCAAGAGGCCCCCAAGACGGTCCACGAGGCCGCGAAAACGGCCCAGGAGGACCCCAAGAGGGCTCCAATGCGGCCGCGAAAAGGCCCCCAGGACAGCCTCCGAGGGGGCGAAACGGCGCCAAAGCGCCAAGACGGCCGAAGACGCCCCGAATAGGCCCCAAGAGGCCCCCAAGAAGCCTCCAAGAAACCCCCCAGAAGCCTTCAAAAGGCCTCAAAAAAAAACCCAAAGGCCACACAGCAACTGGAGTGCAATGCTATTTCCCCCCCTCTGGGCGAACTGCGGCGCAGCGCCAGCCAGGTGGAAGTTGGTTGGTCACTGCGGCGCCCATGATTCGAGCCGGCGCTGGAAGGGAAGATGGGGAAGGTGTACGAAAAGGAAGGAGGGGGGAGAAGGCCCCAAAAAAGCCCCCAAAAGGCCAAAAGAAACTCCCAGGAGGCCTCCAGGGGCCCCCAAAAAGCTCCCAAGAGGCCCCGCGACGACGTGACCGTACGTGCTCCGGACGTGCACCCCGCGAAGCGAGAGGAATCCACGTCCGGAAGTGACGTGCTGAGCGGCAGCGTTTTCCGCGGATGCTGTAATGCAGTGGATCCAGAGTGTCCAATGTTTGCATAATTCCAATATACTGTACTGTGTTCCATTATTCCGTCTCCCCACCTAACCCTCCCCTGCAGTCGCGCCACATGAACGGACCAAAATGGCCCCCTCCTCCCGGGGCCTCCAAACAAACTAAAAAACTTATGACAAATCAACAAATTCGGCCTCTTGGGCTTCTTGGGGCTCCAAGAGGGCCTCAATATGGCCCAAAATGGCCCCAAGACGGCCCAAGATATTCCCAACGGGGGCCCATGAGGCCCCCAAGACGGCCTCAAAAGCTCCAAGGACGGCCCAAGATGGCCCCAAGAGCGCCCACAACTGCGCCTCCAGAGGCCGAAATCATTGATTCCCCCTATGGTTCTTGCACTATTTTAGCATTCTCATCTTTTCCGACTTGCACAAATCCATGACGGCCCAAGCACCTTCCAGAATCGCCCCAAAACAACCCCCAAAAAACCCAACTTGGCCCCAAGACGGCCCAGGAGGACCCCAAAACGGCCCCAAGAGGCCCCCAAGACGGTCCAAGAGGCCGCGAAAACGGCCCAGGAGGACCCCAAGAGGGCTCCAATGCGGCCGCGAAAAGGCCCCCAGGACAGCCTCCGATGGGGGCGAAACGGCGCCAAAGCGCCAAGACGGCCGAAGACGCCCCGAAGAAGCCCCAATAGGCCCCAAAGAAGCCTCCAAAAAGCTCCCCAGAAGCCTCCAAAAGGCCTCCAAGAAGCCCCCCAAAAGCCACACAACAACTGGAGTGTAATGTTATTGTCCCCCCTCTAGGCGAACTGCGGCGCAGCGCCAGCCCGGTGGAACTTGGTCACTGCGGCGCCCATGATTAGAGCCGGCGCTGGAAGGGAAAATGGGTAGGGTGTATGAAAAGGAGGGAGGGGGGAAAGGCCCCCAAAAAGCCCCCAAGAGGCCAAAAGAAACTCCCAGGAGGCCTCCAAAAGGCCCCCAAAAGGCCCCCAAGAGGCCCCGCGACGACGTGACTGTACGTGCTCTGGACGTGCACCCCGCGAAGCGAAAGGAATCCACGTCCGGAGGCGACGTGCTCAGCGGCAGCGTTATTCGGCGAACGCCTTAACGCAACGTATCCAATGTATCTAAAGATTCCAGAATTGCAACATATTGTATTGTGTTACATTATTACGTCTCCCCCCCTACCCCCCCTGGGGGCCGCGCCACAGCGCCGTACCAAACTGGTCGCCCCCTTCTGATGCCCTAATAACATTCAAAAACCATGATAAATCAACAAATTCGGCCTCTTGGGCCTCTTGGGGTGCCACGACGGCGCCAAGACGGCTCAAGATGGCCCCAAAAAGGGCCCCAAAAGCCCCAATGACGGCCCAAGAGGGCCCCAAGACCGCCCACAACTGCGCCTCCATATGCCGAAATCATTGATTGTCCTATGGCGCTGGCGATATTTCAGCGTTGTCGCCGCTGCGGCCCAACCAGCTTCCAACATCGCCCCAAAACAACCCAACAAGTCCCCAAGATGGCCCCAAGACGGCCCAAAAAGGCCCCCAAAACGGCCCAATAGGCCCCTAAGACACCCCACGAGGACCCCAAGAGGGCCCCAAGGCGGCCGCGAGAGGCCTCCAAGACGGCCTCCGAAGAGGCGAGACGGCAGAATAACGCCCCAAGACGGCCCGCGACGCCCCCAAGAGGCCCCAAGAGGCTCCCAAGACGCCCCCAAGGGGCCCAAGGAACCCCAACCCCAAAAGGCTTCCAAGGAGTCTCGAAAAAGCTTCCAAAAGGCCCCATCGAAGCCCCCACAAGCCCACACAGCGACTGGAGTGTACTGTCATTTCCCCCCCCCTGGGCGAAGTGCGGCGCAGCGCCAGCCAGGTGGAAGTTGGTCACGGCGGCGCCCATGATTAGTGCTGGCGCTGGAAGGGGATATGGGGAGGGAGTGTGAAAAGGAGGGAGGGGGGAGAGGCCCCAAAGACGTCCCCAAGACGGCCCAAGACGCCCCCACAAAACTCCCGAGAACCCCCAAAGCGACTTCACTGTACGTACTCCCGACGTACACCCCGCGAAGCGAGAGGAATCATACCCCCATGCACACATCTTCCTTGGACGCCGTGGGTCCTTCGGGAGCCCCTCCCCCAAGAGCCCCGGGGCGCGTCCGAGTCCGCGGCGCCGACCCCCTCCGGGCCTCCCGAAGAGCAGGGTGGGCGCGTGCGGCGGCGCCTGCGATGCCCGCGATGATGCAGAACAGCCGCTCCTCGGCGAGCCTCAGCGTGGCGCACGACCAGCAGACCATGCTCATGCACTGGACCTCTGGCGCCGAGAGGGCGGGAGAGGGTCCTGCTCATCCTCGGGCCTCCCCCCAGCCCTCCTCGGCTCCTCCTCCCCCGCCTCGTCCTCGCCCTCCTCTTCGTCGTGGTCCTTCTCACCGGGAGCCCCGCCCCCTCGCAACACCAAGAAACCCTCCCGTAAACGCTCTGAACAACATCCTCTCAGCTTCCTCCCTCTCCTCCTGCCTCTCCTCCTCCGGAGCGTTCGGCACTCGATTCCAGAGGCCGTCGGGCAGGTCGATAAGCCTCCAGCCGCGGCGCCAGCCGCACTTGTGCCGATGACGGCGCACTTCTTGCCTCGGCGCCAGCCGCACTGCATCAATCGTGTTGCTTGTCATGCTCGTGCTCGCTTGAAACACCCAGTAACACGCTGGCGGCGTCGCCAGGAGGCCGCCCATGATTCGACATCCGGCTGCGTGCAGGGCGCAGGGGCCCGCCACCGTGCCGGCCCAGCACCCCGGGTGACGTCCTGCTCGGGGAGCGCACACGAAGCCCCGGCGCCGAAACCTCGGACCTCGACCCTCGGACGGCAGATCGCCGATCGTCGATCCTCGGCCTGCAGCCGGACCAAGGACAGAAGCACATCCTTCAAAAGCACGAGACGCTCCGCAACCCAAACGCCCCAAACCGGGAGATCAACGAGGGCCTCCTCCCCCCGGGTGCACAATACCGTGTACGACGAGAGCCCAGAATGGAATCGATGTCGGATCGGCGATCGAAATTAAGCGGATCGGGTGATATGAGAAAGCGTGATCCACTGCCGCTTTACTGTGGAACATCCCCCCCTCTTCCTCTGGAGCCCGGGGGTCCTCCCCCCCTCCGAAAATCCCCCCCCCCTCTAAAAATCCAGGGGGGGTCACTACCAGTTCGAACCCCTTCTCCCTCCCTCCCTAGAAATCCAGAGATGGGTCACTACAAGTTCGAACCCCTCCTCCCCCCCCCTCTGGAAAACCGGGGGGGGTCACTACTGGTTCGAACCCCTCCCCCCCTCGAAAACCAGAGAGGGGTCACTACCAGTTCGAACCCCTCCCCCCCTACTGCAGAAAAACCGGGTGGGGGTCACATACAGGTTCGAACCCCCGCCCTCCCTCGAAAATCAAGGGGGGTCACTATCGGTTCGACCCCCCCCCCTTTCGAAAACCGGGGAGGTCACTACAGGTTCGAACCCCTCCCCCCCGCCCCGCCCCCCCACCTTCCAAAACCGGGAGGGGTCACTACCAGTGCGAACCCCCGCCCCCCCCCCCTCGAAAACCGAGGGGGGTCACTACGGGTTCGAACCCCCCCCCCCTCGAAAACCGGGGGGGGTCACTACCGGTTCGAACCCCTCCCCCCCCCCACGCTCACCGCCAGCAAACAACTCTGGGTCCCTACCACCGTCCGCACCACATCCCCACTGCTGTCCCCAGCACCACTGTCCTCACCACCACTGTCCACCACTGTCCTCACCACCGCCTTGCCGCCTTTACCACTGTCACCACCACTACCGTCCCCACCACTGTCCTACTGTCCCCACCACTGCCCGCTGTCCCCTCACCACTGTCCCCACCACCACCGTCCCCACCACTGCCCGCACCACTGTCCCACTGTCCCCGCACCACTGTCCCCACCACCACCACCGTTCCCACCACTGTCCCAGCATCCCCACCACCGTTTGCCGGCGGCGAGGAGGGGGGGGGGAGGGGGTTCGAACCGGCAGTGACCCCTCCCGGTTTTCAAGGGGGGGGGGTGGAGGGAGGGGTTCGAACTGGTAGTGACCCCCCCCCGGTTTTCGAGGGGGGGGGGTTCGAACCCGTAGTGACCCCCCCCCCCTTTCCATGATGGGGGGGGGGAGGGGTTCGAACCGGTAGTGACCCCTCCCGGCTTTCGAGGGGGGGAGAGGGGGGGACGGGTTAGGAACCCCCAGTGACCCCCCCCCCGGTTTTCCGCCAGCAGCAGTAGAACACGATCCTTCGGTGATATCGGCAGCCAAGTCGGGAAAAGTCGGATCGGTTGAAATCTGCAGACTAGCAGGCCTCCATGGAGAAATCGGGACCCGGATCGGAATACGAAGTCGGCCCGAATCGGAACGCCATCGCAATCGAATCGAGTCGAATCGGAGGAACCGAAACGCGCCCTGCGTGGTTCGGCCCCTCGAGCGATCGATCGCCGATCCTCGGACCGCCTCGGCGAGGCCTCGAGCGATGGATCGATCAGCGGGCCCGCAGACCTCGAAGGGCGGCGTCTGGGGCTGTCCTGCGGGGCGGCGGGGACGGCGAGGGCGGCGGCGAGAGCGGCTCCGCCTCCTCCTCCTCCTCCTCCTCCTCCTCCGCCTCCGCCTCCGCCTCCGCCTCCGCCTCCTCCTCCGCCTCGCGCGACCCTCTTCGGCGACTCCGCCGCGGGCTCCCCTTCTTACCACGAAGACGGTCAAGATGATGGTTTCGCCGAGCTTGCTGAGCGCGGTTACGTGCATCTTCACCGTCGTCTGGTTGATATTCCCCTCGACGTTCGTGCATCTTGCGTCCCTGATCCTGGTGTACGCCCTGGTCTTGTACGTGGTGCTGAGTGGTGGCAGGCCCGTCAAGCCATTGCCAACACATGGCTTGTCCAAGATGCAGGCGATGATCGAGGAGCAGCTGCGCCTCGTCGTGATTCCGAGCCCGCCGTGGAGATCGTCTGCGTGCTGAGGGGTGATCAGGCTGCAGCTGTTGCAGGATGGGAGTTCAGCACTGCAAGGGCGCGGCTCCTCCGCGACGCCGACGCCCTGAGATGTCCCACGCCACGTTCTGCAGTCGCCACGGGGCCGCCCATCGACTGGAGCGCCATCGCGGCCCCCTCCGAGGCGGCCGTGGCCGCGCAGGCAGCACCAGCGGAGGCGTCGGCCGATTGCAACCAGAGTTGAATAGTGATCTGCGCTACGTGAATGCGTCAGACGCCGTGGTGTGCTGGGAGATTTTTCGCCTTCGTCGACGCGTCCTCGTTGGCCTTCGCGGAGGCGGTCCTCTTCGAGCGCAGCGCGGTCGGGGGGTCCTGGGGTCCTCAGGTGGACTCCAGGCCCCCCGCGGTCGGTTTCAGAATATCACATCGTGATGGCGTCCACTCCACTCCACTCCACTCCTCCTCCTCCTCCTCTTCCTCCTCCTCCTCCTCCTCCTCCTCCTCCTCCTCCTCAGCCTCCTCCTCGAGGGAAGGAGAGCCCGGAAGCGAATCGAGGAATCGACTCGGTGATCGGAACGAAGCGGATCGGCGGAAGTCGGCGGCCAAGCCGGGAGAAGTCGAGCCGGCGGAGGGCGACAGGCTAGCAGGCCTCCATGGAGAAACCAGATCCAAATTCGGAATCCGAGGTCGAATCGAATCGGACTCGGAAACCATCGAAACCGAATCGAATCGAAGCGGAGTCGAAATGAGCCCTGGGAGGGAGGGAGGGAGGAAGGAGAACAATCGACGGTACGAGCTCGCCGAACTCTATAAGACGAAGCCAGAACGAAGATAAGACCGTGTGAGGGTAAAGTGAGCATTTCTGAGATCTGGCGGCTCTGGAGAATATATCGGGCGACGCGGCCTTTTCAGAGCGTCAAGGAAAGCTCTGAGAGCGTTCCGGAACGCTCTGGAAGGGATTATCCTCGCCCTACCCGGGTCCGGCTCTACTCTGAGCGAAGCCCTGTCATTGCCCCGGCAGGGGAAGAGGGCCAGGCAGGGGTACAGGGTGCAACTTCCCCCAAAAGGCGCCTCCTGGTGTTGCTGTCGGAGGGACGGGGCGGAGGAGGAGGACGAGGAGGAGAAGAAAGGAGGGGAAGGATTCCCAGAAGGATAGGTGAAGAAGGACAGAAAAAAGGGAGAGGGATGGGAGGATGGGAAGTGTGGAATGAAGGGAAAGGTGGGAGGGATGGGGGGGGAGGGGAGGGATGGAATGGGGGGAGGGCAGGATGGTAGAATGCATAAGAAGGCAGAAGGACGGGCAGAGGACAGAAGGGAGGGTGAGGATAAAAGGGAGGGAGGACACGAGGGAGGGCGAGGCGAAGGAAGGAAGAGAATGGAAGGCGAGGGGTGCCTTTATTTGTGATCAGATTTCTTTGTTTACTGCCAAATCGGTCGTGCTGGACGAAGCAACACAGCCAGTCAGGGACGCATTGCGCAAAAGGCCGTCCGACATGTCCCTCAGGCTTCGCGGAGGAAAGAAATCGGCTTATGATGGGAGAGAGGGGCGGCGCTGGAGCCGCCGTCAGCGGGATCCAGCGCCGATCCAAGGAATCCGTGCGGACCTCTGAACGTTTACCCGTCGGTCGGAAGAAGTGGGTAGAAGCATGAAGTAAGAAGGCCTTGGAAGTAGATTGGGCTTCAGCCCGCCCCCGAAGAGGAGGGAAGAGGGAAACCCACTCCACTCTTGAAGTAGGAAAGCGCCTTAAATAGATTGCGACTCGGGCATCAAGAATATCTACTTTCAACGACCGACCGGCTCGACATGTCGTGGGCGTCTCTCTCGGTCTCGCTGGGCCTCCGGGCGGCTTATCGCCTCCTCAGCTGGACTCCCCTCGGAGATCTGGTCGGAACGCGTGCCTGCACAGGTCCGAAGGCCACTGCTGAAGAGAATGAGGACGGCATGCCTATACAAACGTGTATACCAGGGCTGGACCCAAACATTGTTGTTCGCTCTGGTTTCGTTATGTGTTTCGTTTTGCCCGGCCCGTTTTCCTCTACCTCCCCCCCATAACGAAAAGCAGTCTACAACCAAAGCTCAGCAGAACAGCGGTAAGGCCCAGCCCTGCTGTATACAGCTCCGCCGCCCCCCCCCCCCCCCCCTTCCAGGGCCACCAGGCTGCGAGGCTCGCGCGCTCCTGCAGGCCCTGCACAAAATGCCAGTTTCCTCCTCCTCCTCCTCCTCCTCCTCCTTCTCCTCCTCCTCCTCCACCAGGCTGCCACCCCCGACTCTCGTTGCCTGAATCTCAGGGTGGATCTGGGACACTTTAGACTTTAGACAGCATGGTCGCTCTCCCGATGCCAGCCCCCGTCGAGTGATCAAAACTCGCACTCCCAAAGCCCAAACCCTTGTGGATTGCGCCAAGCTCGCGCCCCCGTCCAGAATCCAGATTCGCGCGCCCGAAGCCATAATACATGATCAAGTACACACGACTCGCGCTCAAAACGGCTGGAGTTGGGGCCCTGACGGTCTTAGAAAATATCAAGCTAGCGCGAGGAAGCCGAGGACTCCACGACGGAACAAGAATGCTCCAAGATCGAACCCAGGGGCTCTCGCCAGAAAGTCCCAACAGGCCCCCAAGACGGCCCAAGAGAAGCTCCGAGGCAGCCCCTCTAAAGCGAAGATTCTCGGCCGATGGTCAAGGGAACACTCGAGCGTGCCAAGCCCCCCCCCCTGGGATGAAACAAATAAGCCCCGAGACGAGCCCAAACGCCCTCAAGGGGCCCAACGACTGCATGCAGCATAACTCGTGCCACCCATCTCCCTATCCCCGCCTCTCGCGTTCGAAGCGAGAGAGGGGAGGGAGTCGAAGAAAGAGAGAGGAGTGAAGCAGAAGGCTGAAGGAGGGATGGACACTTGTGCTAATATGACGTTTTCAATCCATTGCCCCGCACATCTCGTCCGCTTCCCCGGGTGTAGATTGACGTGCCGGATCCATGTTTGACGGCCCTGGGGTCCGCAAACAGCTCCCGAGGGCCCAATTCAAAGACGACGGACATTGCGCCAATCTGTTGGAGATCTGGGGATGGGGGAGCGGGGGGGAGGAGGCAAGGGGACAGGGGGGATGAGGATCCTCTATGCTCCGCCCGTTTCTCCTCCGTCTCCTCCCCTCCCTCCCTCGCCCCTCTCTCCTCCACCCTCGATAAAGTGTAGAAGCCCTCCAGGGGAGCATCCAAAAACCTCCTAACCGATAACCCCGAGAGGCAATCTTCCCTGGGGGTTGCAGGCGGTAGCGAGTCTGGAGTGGTTGGGACCCCAGAAGATCGGCCAGGAGGTGGGGTGACGCCAAATCCGCTCAAAATCGGCCCCTGGATCCATCCAGGGGTCCCATCTGGTGTAGTTGTTGACGGTCCCAGGGGCCCAAAACAGCCCCTCGAGGCAGGAAGACATGAGAAACCCTGCCTGAAACTCAAACTTTGAACCTGCCCGCCCCTTCCTGCTGACAAGAACCAGTGCTGGGCCACCTCAGATCCCCAGACGGCTCCAACCTGGGAGAAGTTTTCGTCTGGTCCCAGGGCCCGATGGCGGGCCCCAGAGGCCGAAATGAATGAAAAAAACAAGTGACGAAATCGTTCGGTCGGAGACCTTGGATTTGTGTATTAAGAACGGGTGGTAAAGACGTAACTTGGAAGCCGAAGTTGGGACTTTTTTGTGCGGCGGGCGACAAGTGAAAACGGCAAAGGACGGGCCGCAGAGGCAAGGACACAAGGTTCCCCCAGATGCAGGCGCGTGAACTTCCTAAGCGCGTTGACTGTGCAATCTGCCGAGAATCCCCCCTCGAGGGAGGCCCAGACAGAGCTCAGCGGCCGCGAAGCCCTCCGCCGGGCGGGGTGCCAGCCGGGCGGCAGGGCGTCCTTTCGGTGCGACGGTGGCGGAGCTCTCGATCTGCTGCGCGACGATGCCGAACAGCTGCTTGAAGCAGGGCTCCTCCCCACAGGGGGGCCCTCCAGCCCAGATCCCTGCCTGGCAGGGCTGCGGGTTGCGCTCGGGCAGCCCCCCCAGGTGGGCCTGGCTGGCCTCAACAGGCCATCCCCAGGCAATCCCGGCTGGCCTGGACCTGACACGCGTACCCCCCGAGCAGTCTGGGGCGGTCTCATCACCCTGGCGCCGCCTCCGGCGGCGCCTCTGCGGCGCTCAGCGCCCCCGGGTTGAAGTGCTGAGACCGCGTCGGGCTCCTCGGGGCGCATGCAGAGGCCAGCTGGGACTGCTCGGGGGGCCTGTTGAGGCAGCTGGGACTCTCTGCGAGGGTTATGTTTAGTCAGCGGCCGCAGGCGAGAGCCCCAGCGGCGGGTCCAGGCAAAGCGGGGCACGCACCCCCCCCCTCTGCGAGGGTTATGCGTAACCCGAAGCCCTACCAAACTCACAACCGCAGATCTCCGAGGATAGACGATACGGTTCGTCTCTATCCAGACGTCCTTCCCCGATTTGGGGACCTCCAATTTCGGCCCCCGGGGACACGAACCATTTTTCCCAGACCCCTGGGAAACGGCCGGGACCCCTGGGGCCGCGGACGGAACGAATCCCATCGACGCATCTCAGGATGCCCATGGGGAGCCCACAGAAGACGCAAACGCCCACGACTGTTTATCACTGCGGACCCCCAGACCGCGAGGCCAGCCTCGTGTTGTGAGCGCTCGCGCGACGCATGCCCTCGAAGCCTACGAACAAACGTCTGCAAACGTGCGCATTTTTGTCGAGGGAGTCCAGAACCAACACAGTGATATCACGTGTGCGGTGACCCCACGAACCACAGAGACCTCACCGCACGGTCCGTCGCCGCACGGTTTGGGGACGTTTGAGGCCCCAATCGCCCGAGGCGTCCTCGGAGAACGGCCCGAATCCCAGAACCGCGCGGTGACCCCGAGCCCCCACGGACTCACCACACAGTGTGGTCACCGCACCACTTGAGGGCCTTGCATCGGGGCAGTTGCTCGACTGAACCATCCAGCCCCGACCCCCGGGGCCAAGACCGAAAAACTGCCCCTGACCTCCCCGCAGGAAACGGATGTCTGGACTCTCATCGCGGCCTTGCCCTCGACTCTTCCGCGGTCTGGCCCTGCCGCCCGATGTCTCTGCTCCCGACTCTGGGCCTCCCGGGGGCCTGGAAGAAGACGCCGCGGCGGGCTTCGAGACCGCGGGGGCGGGCAAGAGGGCGCGGAGGACGAGGCGGCGCGACGTCCGTGGCCGTGGCCATGGCCCCCGCCCTCCCTCCCTCCCTTCTCTGGGGGAGCACAACAATGACATAAACATACCTATGCGACCACCCTTCGGGAGAGAAAGGAGGCTGCGGGGGGGGGAGGGGGGAACCAACATCTGACTCAATCGATCTCACTATCGATCTCACTCAACGGGACACCACGGGACACCTCGGGGCACCACATCGAACTCATTATCGATCTCACTCAACGGGACACCACGGGACACCAGTGGCCACCACGGGACACCACGGGACACCACGGGACACCGCGGGACACGTCTCGATCTCACTATCGGTCTCACTCTCGATCTCACTCTCGATCTCACTATCGATTTCACTCAACGGGACACCATAGGACACCACGGGACACCACATCAATCTCACGATCGATCTCACTATCGATCTCACTCAACGGGACTTCACGGGACACCTGTCGATCTCACTATCGATCTCCCTGTTGGACACCACGGGACAGCTCGGGGCACCACATCGATCTCACTATCGATTCCACTATCGATCTCACTATCGATCTCGCTCAGTTAACGGGACACCACGGACACCGCGGGACACCGCAGGCCACCGCCGGACCGCCGGACGGACGGAGGAGCAACATTCGTCTTGACTTCGCCCCGGCAGCGGCGGCGGGTTCATTCCCCTCGCGCGCCCACGCAGCCTCGCCTCGCCCGCACGCACGACACGAGCGAAACGAAACGACTTCCTAGTTGGGGGTCTCCGTTCCACCGCGATCTTCGGGCCGGGCGAAAGGGGGGGATAACAAAAAAGGGGTTTGAGAATCAGCTCACGTAGCTGATTTTCCGGGCGCCTCCCGGCGCCAGGGGCCGCTATGTATTGAGGAATGGGCCCCTCGCGAGGTGGGGCCGAAACCGGCTGTGTGCAGCAGGTTTCGTACCCCCCCCTTTCCAAATCCCCCCCCTTTCGCCCGGCCCGAGGAACGAAACGACGTCCCGGCTGGGGGCCTCCGTTCCGCCGCGATCTCACCTCCCAAACCTCCGACACTCTCGGGTGCCCGCGAGGAGCTCTTGGCTCGGCGACGCACTTCCTGACTACCTACCAGACCACCCCAACCCAACCCGAAGACCCGAATTTCGGGTTGGGGGGGGGGTACGGGTTCCACACGTGTTTTTTTTTCAGTGATCCCCGACCCCCCCCAACAGGAAATGGAGGGCAAATGGAGGCCTTCGAGCTGGGCTGGGGTGGTCTGGTGGGGGGTGACTTTTCCTGGATCGGCGCCGTGCCCCCCCCCCCTGGCGCGCGGGCAGAGCGCCACCGGGGCGCCGCCGGGTCGCGCCGCCGTGCGGAGGCCTTAACCGTGTCGCAATCGATTGTGACACGGTTAAGGCCCCCCCCTGGCGAGAGGAGGGGGTCTTAACCGTTGCGCGATCGATCGAATCCTGGTTAAGACCCCCCCTATCGCGATCTGGCCGCCGAGCCAAGAGGTCCGTAGAGAGATGCGAGCGGTAACGGCTGTGGATGCCACGACAAGGGACGCCCTGACAGTCCTCCCATTGGATTCTAAATGTGTTTATAAGATGTCGGAGAAGAATCGTCTAGACATGTGTGAAACGTGTGTTTTGCATGCTCAAAACATGTTTAGCACATGTGTTAGACATCTGGGAATCATTTGGCAACATGGTTGCTCTCCATGGATCGTCCTCCATAAGGTTACGGCAGGTTCGCGTCGCACCGACTTTGGGCATTGGTTCCTGACACCGCGGGGATAGTCCAACCTTGAACGATCGGCGGTTGCCGAAAGGTCAGATCCTTCAACCTCGACCGATTCCGGGTCGCCGGAGGCTTCCAACGTTGAACGCCCGCGGCGGGGTCGCCGCTGGTAGACAGGACGCGAACCTGCCTGATGTGCCTCCTTGCTGCTCCTCCCCCTTCGTCGCGGAGCAGGGGCTCGACCACTGGCCGCAGGGGTGGCGCGGCGACGGGAGGACCAGTCGCCGCGGGCCACGAGCCACACATCGCTGGGCGTGCACGCCGCCGAGGAGCCTCCCATGCCATCTTCCTGGCTTGCTCTTGCGAATCGACGCCCACCGGCGCCAATCGACGCTGATCGATGCTAGATCGACGCTCATCGACGCTCAACCTATGCTAAAACGGACGGCGCTAAATCGGCGCTCTCTCGCCGATGCCCAACACAACGCGAACGCACGCCGACGCGCTCCGAAAACGGCATCCCGAGGACACACGAGGCTCCCATGAAGTGCTGCCGCAGGGACTCCGAGCGCCCCGGCGCGCTTTTCTCTCCGTGCGCCCCCGCGCGGCGCGGGAGCCGCGCCGGGCGCCCGGAGGAGCGCCGCGTTAGAACTTCAGCTTCAAGGAGATCTTCGACGCGGCGCCTGGCCCCGCGGAGGCGGCAACGCTGGACGCGCCTGCCCCGGCGGCGCCCGCGGCAGACATGTGATCTCTCAGGAGCTGCTGTATCGTGGCCTGCCTCTCCGGGGTCATCGCGGCCACCTCGGCCTTCACGCCCCGTGCGTCGGTGCGCGCCACCTGGACGAGGCAGCGCGCCATGGCCGCGGTGTGTGCGTCGAAGCTCCCGGGCCGGTGGCTGCTGCAGCCCAGCACCGCCAGCACCACGCTCATCACCATCCGCGTGGTCGCTCCTGTGAAGCTCGCCCCGGCCGCCGCCTGCTGCGCGGCAAGCATGGCCGCGACGGCGCCCCAGGCGCCGTCCAGGGCTGCGGCGCCGGCGCCCGGCGCCGTGAAGACGGCGGCCAGGGCCGGCAGGACGACGGGGCAGAGCACCACGCAGGCGGGGCTCTGCAGCAGGCTCTGGGCCAGAAGGAGAATCAACAGCACGCACCCAAACTGTGGGAGCTCCGCGCGGATCTCTTTGGTCGGCACCATACCCCCTTCCCTGGCGAGGAGCGCGCCAGGGGCGGCACCGCAGACGCCGCCAGGAGCGTCGAACCAAGAAATCCGCGCGGAGCTCCGACAGGCTATGGTCGTACAGTTTTGTTCTTCTTCCATGGGCGGAGGAGATGGAAGTCTGCACCACCTTTTGGCGGCGCGCCCGGGGGAAAATGAAAAAGAGAAGTCCTTCTCAGAAGGCTTGGAAGTCAACCGGCCTCCTCATCATTTTTCTAGACGCTCCCCGAAGACGCGTAAAACTTCTCAGAAGGCGCGAGGTCTTCTGAGAAGCCCCGCCGCATTCTAAGAATAGGGAAACAACAAGTGGCATAAACATAAAAACTCGGAGATCCGCGCGGATTCCTCGCATCGGCCTGGACCCCCCTCCCTGGCGCGCGGAGCGCGCCAGGGGCGGCGCCGGAGGCGACCTCCGAGTTGTCTTTATGTTTATGCCACTTCTCGTTCCCCTGAAGAAGGCCTTCTCCTTTCCCCAGTTCCCCCCCTCGCCCGCCGCCCCAAACCTTGGGGCTCGGGTGCTGGAGGCCCCTGGACAGAGCCAGCTCGACCCTGCCCAGGCACTGCCTCGCCGCAGCCCTCGCGCCCGCGCCGCGGCGAGGCGCGGCGCGGCCGGCGGGCCCGCCGCAGACGCCCTGCAGCACGGTGCAGGCAGAGGTGACGGCAGGCACCAGCAGAGCGAACTGATCCGCCGAGCCCCGCTGCCCAGAGTTGGAAGGCAGCTGGTACGGGGAGGTCGTCGTCGGAATGCTGAAGCAAAATGTCGCCCCACTGGGGGGGCCACCACGCCGGATGAGGCCGCGGATTGAGCGAGATGGAGTGGGAATCAGCCGGACTGAGCCAGTCTTCGGACCAGGGCAAAGTCTGAACTTGACCTTCCAGGAGTTGCATCCGAAACGGGGTGAGCCCTTTCGCAAGTCACTCTTCAGTGAGAAGTGCCAGGGGCACTCTGCGTGCGCACGGCACCGCTCTCCGAATGCACCTGGGCGGCTTCGCTAATCGCCGCTGCATCGTCGACGTCGGCATGGACAACATCAAGTTCCAGATCGAGCCGCATTGCCGATGCACCGGCGATGCGGCCTGATCATCCGACCCCATATACGCTAGGCACTTTTGGGAGGTCAACATTCTCGCTTACGTACCGCGACGGGGGGCGGCGGGGCTAGCTCGTCAGCGCGTCTTCGGGCCGTCAGAGCCTCCGGATCCACCATCTGGCGCAACTAAAATGCCACAGAGAATCCAGGGTGGCCTCCAAAATCCTCCGCTATGCTTCCAAGAGGCCCAACTTCAGGTGAAGCGCGGCTCCAAATGGCCCCAGAACTCCCGAGAGACTAAACACGTGTTGTGTTTACCGCACGTTTGTTCAATATGTTTGGCCTGCTTGCCTTTTCGTTTCTCATGAGCCTTTGAGGCCTCAAGATGGCTCCAAGACCGCCCACGGGAGCTCAAGAGGGGCCCAGAAATGTGCCAAGACGGCCCCAAATGCCACAAAGAGTGCCCCACGACCGCCATCAGAGGGCCCCGAGAGCAGATGCTTCGTGCTCCGCTGGGGCAGCGCACATCACATACCATCCCCCTGTTGATCGATGCCCTTTGAGATTGTCCTAAAAGTGTCCCAAGAGGGCCCCAAGAGAGCCCAAAGTTCATCCCACCTTGCTACACCAAGCCTCCAGGATCCCCGGATCAACAGATCCGCACTTGGACGACGCCCCTCGGAACAATGCCGGACACGGCCACAGCAGCGCCTACCTCAACACGGCAGCTCCCGTTGACTGATCCTCTCTTCGGGAGGCGGAATGGCCTGCACGCCTGCGGATAGAGTATCTGCTTCTCCTCTGTCTCCGAGACTGCCTGCGAGCTGTCCAGGGCGGGGACCAGCTCCTTGCACAGCCTGCTCACCACGAGGGCCAGGTGCAGCAGCTGCATTTCGCTCTGCCTGCCCGACTGCCCGGGCTTACACAGCAGGCCGCACACGATCTTCCAGAACTTCAGCGTCACCGCCGGCTGCGAGTGCACCAGCTCCGCGGGGAAGGGCGACAGAAAGAGCAGCCACAGCCAATGCTGGCGCTGGCAGCGACTCCGATCCCCGGGCGCACCCGTCACGCCCTCCCCTCCGAGCGCGGCCGCGACGACCTCGTCGTCGTCCGAGCGCGCCGCCGCCTCCTCTGGGGAAGCAGAGAGATCCCGATGCCGCTGCTCCTCGGGCCGCTCCCGGAGTGCGCTCTGCTCAGGATCTCGACAGGCGGGTCTGGCCGTGGCGACGGGGGCCTCCCCTGAGGCCGGAGAGGGGAAAGACGAGGCGGGGGCGGCGGCATAGGGCGCCCTTTCCCCCTTCCTCGGAGCCTCCTCCGCGGGGGACGCATCCGGGCCGTCCGCCAGCGAGTCGCCCAGCCACAACACGAAAATCTCCAGCGCCTGGGACGCCCTGGCCGCATCGGCGGCCACCTCCGCGCTGCGCAGCGCCGCGGCTGCCGCGTGCAGGGCGTAGGCTTCCAAGGTGCCCCGAGCCTCGCGGGCCTGGGCAGTGTCCTGGCAGAGGCCGTCGAGCCACATGGCCTCAGAGGGTGGGCAGCTGGCGGGCTCCTCTGTTCAGGCTTCGGGCTGCGCAGGCACGGCCCGCCCCTCCCCCGGGTAGCCCTAGCTGGCCTCAATGGGTCCCCCGGGTAGCCTGGGGCAGTCTCAGCACCCTGGCGCCGCCTCTGGCGGCGCCCCTGGAGACCGCCGAGGGCTACTCAGGGGGCCTGTTGAAGCTAGTCGGGGCCACCTTGGGGGGCTTTCTGTGCGCAACCCGAGGCCTTACCAAACTTTCGCATGGGTCGAACAGTTCCTGAGGGAAACGGGTCCTGGACCCCAGGGCCCTTCCCCAGGACGAGTTCTTCATCCTGAGCGGAGTTCTAACAGTCCTGGGGCCCGTGGAAGACCGCGGGAAGCCAAGCACGGCGAAAGAAACCAGGGCCCGTTTCCCTCAGGACCCGCCTACCTCATGGCGGCAGGCTCCTTCTGCTGCTTCTGCCGCTGCCGGAAGACTGCGGCGGACAGGGCGTGCAGGAGCTCCAGGAAGTCGGGCAGCAGCGCGGCACAGCGAGCGGGCACGCGGAACAGGCGGTGCCACAGGCACTGCAGCAGGTCCAGGAGGTAGGCGGTCGTGACAACCGCCCCGGGGGTGGCCTCCGATGCGGCACGCCCGCCGTCCTTCTGGCCCAGTGACGCGGCGTGCAGCGAGGCCTGCTTGGCCACGCGTATGTAGACTTTGAGCTCGGCCTCCAGCGGCTCCCGCGACGCGTCGCCGAGCAGCAGCACAACGATGCCTAGGGCCAGGGCGATGAAATCCGAGGACACGCCTTGCAGCTTGGGGTCGCTGCACAGGACGCACACCCCGCGGAGTATGGGCGGCAACGCCTCCCGAAAGAACGGCTGGACCGCCTTGTAGTCCGCGAGGCTGAAGCAGGCGGGCTGGTAGGTCTTGATGCTCTGCAGCGGCACCCCAGCTAGCAGCACTGCGCAGTCGCGCAATGCGCTCTCCATCCATCTTGCCAAGTCCTTGACGTGCGCGCCGATCGCCGGCTCCTCGAAGTGGCTGTCCAAGATCTCGCAGGCGCTCCTCAGCCGGAAGAGGAACGTCCTCGTCGAGGCGCACTCGCAGTACTTCTCGTCAGGCTCGAAGGTGGCGCTGCCGAAGGGCTGCATGAGCTTCGTGGTCAGCGGCTGCACCGAGTTGCAGGCCCTGGCGGCGATCACGTCGCGCAGCAGCTCCAGGGCCAGGCCCTGCACGCGCGGGCTCGCCGCGGGGCCCATGTTGTGGCGGATGCAGGTCGTGATCTGCGCCTCAAACTGCACCAGCAGCAGCGGGCACTCCTCCTCGTCGACCTGGCCCTGCACGTCTCGGGTGAGGCGGAAGCGGCTCACGATGAGCAGCGCCAGCCTCAGCCCTGCGGCGGCCAGCGATGGCTCGTCGGAGCCGGAGGCGTGCGCTGCCAGAGCCACCAGGGTCTCCAGGTGGCTCACCAGCCTGCCGTCGCTGGCGGCCGCGGCCGTGCCCGCGGAGCGGCCGCCGGCCGCCGCAGCGTCCGCGGGCACCTCGCACTGGAAGTGGCCCGCGTCCGCGGGGTCCGCCTGCTCGAGGAGCGTGTGCAGACACGCCACCGCGAAGGCCTGCCGAGGAACAAAAAGACACGGCATCGGAAGTCGCGGGCCTCCCAGAAGTGATGCCTCTTCCGTGCTCTGCGGCGCGCGCGAGGGAGTATAGGGGGAGGGGATGAGGCGCCTTAGAAGGAGGCTGCTTCTCAGAAGGCGCGGGCCTCTCATCTGTATAGATGAGAGGCCCGCGCCTTGTAAAAAGCAGGGGCGCTTCTAAGAAGCCTTCCCAACTCCCCCTGCCCCAATCTGTGCGCGGCTGACCGTTCTTGCTCTTGGAGCCTAGGTGGCGCCGTTTTGTAAGGGGCAACGTAACTATACAGTCGGACTCGATTGGACAGGACACGCGAGAGGACACAAGACCCTTCTGAGGGCCACATTGCCACAGGGGTCGCGAGACGCAGGACACAAGGGCACCCGTGGTTTGACAGGGTCGACCTACTAATCTGGGCCGACTGTAGAGGGGGGACTGGGGAGACTGGCACAAGGGGGGGACCATTGACCCGGAACCAGCGATATACATCGCCGCTCGATCGGTGAGAGGCCCCCGCTATAGCGAGCACGCACGCTCCTTGGCAGGTGTTAGGGCTGTCGGGCCCCTCTCGGCGATGGGGCGGCGATTGGGGGGTCGAGGCGTTCCCCCTGTGGAAGGGGCCCTGGGACACACAAACAAATACACACAGGTAAGAGGATTCCCCTATGTTTGCCCATATGTTCTGGGTGTTTGTCTCCCCCCCCACTTCCCATGTTCTCTGGGGAACCGGCGATTCATTGTGTCTGTGTGTTGTTTCCCCTCCTGACATGCCTACCTCCCCCTCTCTGCGCGTGGCCGACCGCTTCTGCTCCTCAGGGCCTTGGTGGCGCCGCTCGGCGGCCGGTGCTTCTCCTCGGCCCCGGCCGCTGCGCTCGCCTGCCTGGCGATGGAGGCGCCGTCGTCGTGCGCGTCCTGCTCCTCCGCCGCCTCCTGGATTTTTTTTTTCCAGTCGGCCGAACTGGTGGTCCCTCGGTGGTATCGCCGTGGGGTCTCTAGTGCAAGCTACACCTAGGGTAAAGGACCCTCGCTACAGCCATCGACAAGTCGTGGGGGCCGCCGTCTCCTGGAGATTGGTCTGTGGTTTTCGGCGGTGCCAAGGCGAAAAATCAGATGAGGTTCGTCCTGACTCCGGCTGCCCTCGCCGGCGAAGACCACCGAGGCTCGCTGAGATCCGGCGGCCCTGGAGGATGTCTCGAGGGCCGCGGCCTTCTCGGAGCGCTCCGGAGCGCTGCCTCGAGCGCCGCGGCCTTCTCGGAGCGTTCCTGCACGCTCTGGAAGGGATTTCTCGTCCTGGCCTGGTCCGAGGTAGCCTGGATCATCGGGTGGGGCGGGCGAGTTGCCGGCCGATAACCCAACTTTTTCGCGTGGGGCAGCGCCACGAATGCCCGCGCGTGCCAGGCCTGCGCATGCCCCCAGGGCATGAGGTGGCGACATCCGAACCCTACCGCCGCCAGCCATCGATTCCCTTGAATCGATGGGCGACGGGGGGTGGGGTTCGGATCTCGCCGCGCGTTCGACGAATGCCGAGCCCTACCCCCGCCGCCCACCGAGTCGCCCGAGTCGTTGATCGGCGAGGGCCATTCGAGTTCGGATGTCGCCGCCGAAATATCTGGATGGGGGAGGGCGGGTGGGCAGGCCCGACGAGCCGGGCCATCGCCAGACCCTTACAACTACACTCTCCTGCACCGCGCTCTCCCTCGTCTGCAGCGGAGCCGAGCCCCTCGGCAGCGCCAGAATCGTCTCCTTGAACGTCTGCAGCCACACAGGCAGCTCCCGCAGGCCCCGCCGCCTCACCAGGGCGAGCACCAGCCGCCGCACGGCCTCGGACTCGTCCGGGTGCCCGCCGTCCAGGAGCGCGAAGAGCTGGGAGGGGTCCCTCGTGATTGGGGCGGCCTGCCCCAGGCACTCCTCTCGGCGGCCCTCCCGTAGGGGGGGGGGGGGGGGGCAGGGTTGGGGGAGGGGGGGGGGCGCTCGCCTCCTCCTCTTGCAGGCGGCGGGGCTCCTCAGAGGGCCCCCGCGCCTCCCGAGGGAGGCCGCCCGCGGCGCCTCGGAGGAGGCTCTCGGGCAGCTCCTCGGCAGGCGGGCGGGCCTCCGAGAAGTGGCCCCGCCGCGCGCCGGGAGAGCCGGCCCCCTCTGCCTTCCACCCCGGGCGGCCCGCCGCTCCTCCATCCCCACCAGCTCGGTGATGCAGCGCACCGCCGCCGCCCGCGCCGCGGCGGAGAGCGACCCGCCGCGCACCGGCGGCGCGAGCTTGGTGCTCAGCAGCTCGGAGATGCACCTCACCTGGTTCGGCGCCCGCGGGGCCAGCTGGATCACGGACTGCGCCGCCAGTGTGCACAGCGCCTCTGTCCGCACCGTCGCGAACGCCGTTGCGCTGCCAGCATCAGCGTGCCTCATGTCCTTCAGCACGGCCCACAAACCGAGGATGCGCTGCGTATGGTGCTCCCTGAGACTCGGGTTGTCCACGTCCGCCTCCGTGGGCGGTATGAGGGCCGCGGAGTGCACCAGCTCGCCGATCGTCCAGAGCACCAGAGGAGACTCGAAGAAGTCCGCGAGCAGGTGCGCGGTGGCGAGCCGCAGGGTCTCCTTCAGGAAGGGCGAGAACTCGAGCGGGGCAGCCTGCATGGCGAGGTGCAGACCGTGAAGCATCCACAACCGCACCTGGGGAAACCCAAAGGCGCCAGTGCCGCCACTCCCCAGACCTCTCCCGGGGTGCGCTCTGCCCAGATTCTCGAGGCGACTCCAGCGGTGGCGACGAGGGCCTCCAGGAGGCCCAAAAAGGCGGGGACGAGGCAAGGGCAGCGGTAGCGGTACCTCTCGGCGGTGAACAAACCTCCCTTTTGCAAACCACCCTTTAGTGAAAACGGCCTGGGACCGAAACCGACGGACCTGGACCCGCAAACGTGACGGCCGCGACGCCATCTCGCAAACCGAAAACGGTCCATTCGCTCATCGACGCGTCAGGGTAGGAGATCTACCTTTGGACGCCCGAAATGGGCACAGAAAGAATGGGTACAATCCCCAACAACAAATGATGTCCCAAACCAACAGCGGCCGCTGTTGGGCAGGCGACCGACTGTCTCGAATGGACACAGGCCGCGGCGGCGCGGACAGCGAGTCCTGTTCGAAATGAACAGGAACTGCTGTTGGGCAGTGTGCCCATTCTTCCCGTGCCCACTTCGTTCATGCCGAATCACCCTCCGACTCTCCCTCCCCTGGAGCACCGGCTGCGCCGTCTCCTTCCCCAGCTTCAGCAGGCACGGCACGATGCTCGCCAGGTGGGGGCACTGCAGGCCCTGAGGCATCGGCGCCCCGGCGGGCGGCTGCCGCGCGCCGCCCCACCGGAAGGTCCGCAGCACGGCGCCGCAGAGGAGCGCCAGCGCGGAGCGCACCGGCGCGGAGTCGGAGGTGCTCTCCTTCAAGGGGCCCAGGGGCACACAAATAAAAACACACAGATAAAAATGGTTCCCCCTATTTCCCCATAGTTTCGTTTTTTGTTGTATTCCCGCCCAACTCCCATAGTTTCCCATATTTTCTGGGGGACCGACGATTAATTGTGTCTGTGCGTTTTTTGTCCCTCCTGACTCCTGGCTGATGAACTGGAGGATGCTGGGGACGATGGTCGGCGGCGCGCCCAGGGGGGGAGGCAGAGGGGCCACATGCGAACCTTGCTCCTGCCCCCCACGAGTTCTGAGGGGGAGGGCGCTTCGCTCGGGAGCTCCCGAGCGAAGTGAACCCCACCCTCCCCCTCAGAACTCGTGGGGGGTGGGGGTAGGGTTCGCATGTGGCCCCCTAGGAAGGCAGAGGGGGAAGAGCCCCGTCGAGGGATCGGAAGGCCTGGCGCCCGCAAGGAGGCTCTCTTCCAGCCTGCCCTGCAGCCAGAGAAGGCCTGGGGGGGGGCGCTTCTGAGAGGCCCCGCCGGCCTGTGAGGAGACCCGCCCCCTCGCGCCTCCCCCCTCGGCGAGCCGCCGAGATGGGCGAGTCTGGCAGGCGGTGGTGGATGTAGAAGATCGGAGAAGGGCCGGCCGTTACAACGGCGGGCGGGATCCCTGCCCGGGCCCCTCCGGGGATCCATCGGGGCCCGTTTTGCGGGGTGAGTCCAGCCGTGGCGACGAGAAGCCTCGATTGGTGGGTGGCTGCGTGTGCACTCAGCCCCCCCCTCCCCACGATTCAGTCCGCTCGGGGGGCTCCCGCGCGAAGTGAACCCCCACCCTCCTTCAGAAAGCGTGGGGGGTGAGGGTCGGGTTCGCATGTGGGCACCGACTGGAAATACAGGATCTTGTTTTTGTATGATTCCCATTCCCGGTCGTTGCCTGCGGGGGTGGGCGGGGGGCCTGGATACCCGTAGCGCTAGGGCGTGGTGGGGCACGTCGGGGCGGTGACGGTGCGGTGCGATCCCCGTAGTGTATGCGCTGGCACCAGCATGCGGGAACGATCCTTCCTGTTACCTCGCGAGTGAGGGGGGGCTGCGGTGGGGGGGACTGGCCCGAGTAATTCCACCAGCCCTCTGGGCGTAGGTGGTTTAACGAAATATGTTTTCTCCCTGCCAATACCTTCCGTCCCCCCTGCTTTGGGGAGGGGTTTACCACTCCCCCTGCCCCCTCCCAGAGGGCCTCAGACAGCGCAAGACGGCCTCCAAGATGGCTCAAGATACCTCGAGATGGCTCAAGATAGCCTCCGACAAACATCCAAGAGGCCTCGGCCCCAAAACCGTTTCAAGTACCCTCCGAGCCCTCCAAGGACCCCCCGAAAAGGCCAAAATGGCTACCAAACCTAAGTAAATCAATGTGTTTTGCCTTCCCGCCTTTTCGCTTCGGATGGGCTCTTGGAACCCCACGTCGGCCCCCAGACGGCCCAAGAGAGCTCCCAGAAGGGGCCCAAGAGGGCCCCTAAGACGGCCTCAAGATCGCCCAAGAGCGCCCCATGAGCGGCCCAAGATGGCCTCAAGACGCAATGTTTGAACCTCCCAAGATCGAACTTGAACTTTCTCCCCCTTTATTTGACTCGTGGGGGGCAAGGCGGCCCAAAGAGGCCTCCCAGACCCCTCAAAGGAGCCCCAACAGGGCCCAACGACCGTCAAAATGAGCCCCAAGAGGGCCCCAAGGGTGCCCGAAGAGGCCCCAGGGGGCACAAAATTTCATCGTCTTTCAAGAACTTCTGAACAACATACTTCCAAAGCCCGATATCTCATCCTGCTTGTCATCGTCCGTTCCTTCCCTCCTCCTGTCCTGCCTCCTCCATCCTTCTCCTCCTCTTCTTCTCATTCGTATATGTATAAGTAGTATTACTATTCTTCTTCATTATAGAAGTATGAGTACGAGTAGTCGTGTCATAGTCATATGTGTTATTAGTATGTTTAGTATGTTTCTTATGGTTGTCACTAGTTGTATTCGTAATAATCGCCTTCTTCTGCGTATTAGCATAAGTGTTGTTCTTTTCATTATTCGTACCGCTACTCGCCTCTTAGGTTTCGTGTTACTCTTACTATTGTGATTCATTATGCTGTTCGCCTGGTTAATATTATTAGTATGACGGTGCTTGTGAATATGATTATTGTTAGTCGTATGTTGATGTTTGGTTATTATGATTATGCTCCGTCTGTATAGTATTATTATTAGTATGTGCTTCCTCCTCCTCCTCCTCCCTCCACCCTCCTCCTCCTCCTCCCTCTCCCTCCTCCTCCTCCTCCTCCTCCTCCTCCTTGTCCTCCTCCTCCTGCGCCTCCTCCTCCTTGTCCTCCTCCTCCTCCTCCTACTCCTCCTCCTCCTCCTCCTCCTCCCCCACTCTCCTCTTCCTCCTCCTCCTCATAATCCTCGTGCCGCATTATTCATCCTCATCCTCTTCTTCCTTCTACTCCTCTTCTTTCTCCTCCTCCTCGTCTTTCCACTCCTTCTCTTCCTTGTCTCTGGTTCCTCGTTCCCCTCCTCCTACTCCTCCATTCCTCCTCTCTTTCTCCTCCTCCTCCTCCTACCCCGAAGATGGTTTGAGAAAGTCGGGCATAGGTTAAGATAGCCACCGGCCGCCCAGAGGCTTCAATACAACCACGAGACGGTTTGAGATAGCTGAGCATGACTCAGGATCGCCTCCGACAGCTTCTAGCCGAACGTGGCTCACGATAGCCTCCAAGAAGCCTCACCAAAGCCTCCGATCGTAGCTGGATGGGCTTGTGGGGATAACCAAAACGTCAGGCCTCAACGACCATTACCCGCCAGATGATAAGCTTACTCCGGCGATCAGACCGCGCACGAGAATCCATTTAGCTCGCCCCTCACCATTTCCTGCTCGCCATGGGGAGGCCTTCCGCCGGCCATCTGATTGGCATCGTCATCCTCTCTCTCTCCTGGTCCTCCTCGTCCACCTTCTCGTCCTTCTCGTCGTCCTCGCAAATTGTTGTTATTATCATTATCCTCCTTCTCCTCATCCTCTTCCTTTTCCTTTCCCTCCTCACCTCATCCCCCTTCCCTCCTCCTCGTCATCCTGCTCCTCCACCTACACCTCCTCCTCCATATCTGTGTTTGGTCTATCTCTCTCTCTCTCTCTTTCTCTCTGTCTCGCTCTCTCTCTCTCTCTCGGATTTCCTCGCTACTGCCTCGCAATAGGCCACGGCTCCGAACATCCTCACGGTTTCCCACCTTGGGTGCTCAAGTAGTATGCCGCATAGAATATGCCGATGACCCAATCGCATTGCTAACATGACCTGAAGGCCCCACAGGGAAGGGCCTCCGCTTTGACACTTCCTCTCAATTCACTCACGGACGAGACCCTCGCTGGAGATATCCTCACGATTTGCCCCCCCTGGGT